ATCATACAGCTAATAAGCGGCAAACGGCACGTCAAAGTAAGCGTAGCTAAAACAGGAGAACCACAGCTGTAAGGCTGTATTCTATGTAGCGTGGCTAACAAAAACTGCCCACAAACAGCCCTATATCATCATAACAACACAAATGAGATGGGGCCTCCTCCTAGTCTCGAAGAAGACCAGAAACCGTCCGACTAGTTGAGCTTCATGTACTGCAAAAATTCATCCCAGTCGATCTGCACACAAATGGATTGAAAAATACGAAAACAAATATTGTCATCGTCTGCCTCTGGATGGTTCTGAAAAATCGAATAAAACTACAAAAAGTCAAAGTTGAACGAACCTGGCCATCGCCATTCTTGTCTATCTGCGCAACGAGTGCCTTTATTGTATCCTTTGGGACTAAACGGTAATCCTCGCCGCCAAGAACTGCTTCAAACTCGGGAACCGATATTTTCCCATCTCCATCCTGTACAGATGATCATCAATAGCATGTTCCCCAGCATGCATCTCAAAAACAGCAGTTTTGCAACTGCGGGTATTTTCGAGCAATCACATTAAATTTGCAACTGTATAATCTTTATACATCATTCTTACCTTGTCCATCTTCTGAAAAGCAGTCCAGATAACATTTAGCTCTGATTCCTGCCATGAGTAGCACGCTGCCAAGAACTCTGTAAGCAACATGCAAAAACGAGGTTGGAAACTATAAGCTGAAACCGCAAGTAACTTGTGCCGTGTTCACTCGGGGGATGTTCAGGCTGAAAGTAAACCAACAGCAGCCGGTTGGTGTATACGGAGTCTTCATCACCTGTATATGAAACATTTCCCGAGTCGTCAACGTCAATAGACTGAATGATTCTGTTGATGTCCCACTGGGGGAGGCCCACCTGGGCAAGACCTGAATAAACCGAAACAGCCAACCTCTCAACCTCTCGATGAAAATGTCAGCAGTTCAGAATTATCTGAGCTTCTTTTTAACTGTATGGACCACTACAATGCACAAAAGTTTATTTGTTTTGCTGACCTTCCGTCAACTCGCTGTGGGAGATAGTGCCATCTCCGTCTTTGTCAAGTTTGCGGAATATTTCA